TGCGAAACCATGGTTGTTGATAAATGAAGTAGTTGGGAAATGTACATTTTTTTTTCCCCTCAATTCTGTAAGTCTGGAAAATGATTATATTATAGATTTATTTTATTTTCACCAAAGGTAAAATTGAAAATAGAATCTGTGACAGAAGACGGATGAATTCTTTGATTCACAAACCAAACTTAATTTAGGTTACTATATGATGACTTAAACTTGGTAAACTCTGGAAAAGTGTACACTGTATTGCTGCAACAGGTGGCTGATAAATGAATAGATCTTTCATTGTTTCTGAGTATTAAACAATGTAGTTGTTTAACTTGTGTGTATCATACATTTTTGTGGACAAAAAAGGCTCAGGATTAAACAAGTAACTCATTTTTGAGATATTGTAACCGATGACTGAAAACTGAGTTTCTCCTGGATTTTCATATTTTTTCACTAATTTATAAATTATTTTGAGACAATAATTTTAAAGTCAAGTTTACTGTTAATTCTAACTACATTTCAGTAATTTTTAGCTAATTTTTATAATTTATATTTTGTTATTTTAAGACATTTGTTTAGTGTATTTTCATTTCTGCATAAAACAACCTACTTGTCGATTTCAAACAATTTTCTACCCACAGTTAAGAATAACTTCATTTTTTTACCTAGAACCTATCATCACCTTGAGATTATATTATACATTTCTTGATTTTCAAGCATTGCCCTTAGTTTTAGTACAGGCCATGGTTGAAACCTTATAAAAAAAGCTATAAAAAAAGTTTACTTATTATTGGTTAGAGCAAGAATTAGACTATCACTTCATAGTGGTGGTGTTTTTTTTTTATAGATTTTGTAAATGTTTATTTCATGAATTGTGAAAATAATTGTATGTTAAATTATATATCTGAAAGCTACAGAAAGTTTTGATGAGAAGTCGTCAAATAACTCCAGATAAGGTAAGGGTAACCATGTATATAGAAGGTGGGCAAAAAGTCTGGGCACTCCCCTTCTTTATATCTTGTGATAATTCACTGTGGGGCTGTATCAAACAGATTCTGGCAAAGGAACAATATGAAACAACTGACGCTTTGAAACAAAAAAAATTGTTGAAAGTTTTGATAGGGTCACCCCGAATATGCTAAGGAGGATGTTACATTACACATGGAGACGTATCATCCCGTGTCATGAAAATGAAGGCCAATAGACAGATATTTGGGATCATTAGTCAAACCTTTTGTTAGTCTGTGTCAATATGAATATATCAATATGCAACACATTATTTTTTTCATGTACACTCTCTTTATTTGAGGGGAGGGAGGTGCCTGGACTTTTTGCCCTCCCTGGGTAGTGAAGATATTAAATAAGGTTAGCTTATACAGTTTAGGGATGAGTTGGATGGGTAGCAAAGAAAAATTTATCACAAGTTTAACACAGTGATAAATGTACAATGTTTGGATGCTGGTTTGTTATCAACAGGTACAAGTATTTTACTTATTCACAGGAATATACATACAGTAAGAAACAAGTCACATGAGGCTTAATAAAGTTATCTTGTTGATGTTCAGTTCCTTGTTTAAAGTTAGTTTTTTTATGTTTTAACCCTTTTGCATATGAGAGGGCAAAGTGCACTCGTCATAATCTTTTTACCAAGTTATATATGTCTCACAGTTTACATTGAAATGTTGTATTTAAACTGAGGCTTACATTTAGTTGCAGAGTTTATTTTGAAAAGTCTATTTATCAATTTAAGCCTACAAGTGAACATGGCTGTAACGTGTACTTGGCATTATCTTTTACAAAATAATAAAAAAAAACCTGCACAACAAAGAATATGTTACAACACTGGTATCAGAAGTGGAATTATTTTGGTGAAAATAAAATGGAACTTTGATTAAACTTCAACTTTTATGATGACACATAGGTACAAAATGAGATAGGAAACCTGATAGAGATGGTAAAACAATGAAAAGTCCTTTCTGGACTATTACAGCCATGTCACTTCCAAATCCAGTTCCAAAATATAGCTGGCCAATTGAATAACATTGTCTGATTGAGAAATCAGTGGATTTTGATGGAAAGGTACCATGAGAGGCATACAAATCTCATTTCAAAATAATTTTCAGAATGAACAGGTGAAATAGTAAACAGTTATTCTCTGTGCTACCTACTTAAAAGGATCATTGATGACATCTGAGAGCCACAGCAACTATCAAGCATTGGTAGTTTCCTCATCCAACAGGTTTGGAGTAATACACCAGAAAACAGTTTCTAGCACAAAGTTCTGGAACAAGGTATGTAGAAGAAAGAAGAGGTTTTAGCGAAACTTTTGGAAGATTTGGAAATGCTTGCTCGATTATCTTACTGAAATGCTCCACTTGAAATGATGGATTTGTTGGCAAATAACCTATTTTTAGATGGCGTAACAAACAAGGATATGATAATTAGGTTGAAGCAAAGTAGGATGTACATCTTTAAAAGAAGCTTTATAGTTTTTGATGGAACTTGGATCTATTAAAGTTACAGATAAACAATCAAATACAACATTTTAATATATAAAAACATTACAGTTTAATGCTCTAGTAATTACTAGTACAAAAAGCCACCTGTAAGTAAGGTGGTGTTTCTGGATTTGATTAGCAGAAACTGATCCCCATTATGTTTGTTTTTTTTCCACTGCTACAAGTGTGGGAAACTTCTTGGAAGCTGTTTCTTCTTAGGCCGTAACATAAGCAATATCCGCCAGTTTGACAAATTTGTCTTGCTTGCTCTGTTCAGCTTTACAAGTAGCTCTTCCTGAAAGAAATATGATATGAAATAATCAGGAAATAAATTAAAATGTAATAACTATTACTTATTATCTTTCACTGAGTGTTCACTTTAAATTGAGAAAAATTCTGTCTCCCATGCAGAAATTTAACTACCTTTTTCTTAACCTCTGTGTACCACTATCGTCACAGTACCTTAATAGCCTAAGCAAATTTTTTTTATTAAAATAAAATTGTGTCTGTGTATTTTGTACATCCATTTCATAAAAGAAGTTGAACAATTTATCTGTCTTTTCATATTGTACATACTGTAAAACAAAGCCAAAAATTAATTGATGCAGTCATCTTAATAAGATGTGGATATAATATAAACAGCCCAATTTGAGAGAAGTAAACAAACCGGTACAGTCCAATAATTTTGCAGAATGAGCTCAACTAATAGGCTATGTAACATAAGCCTAGTCCACAGATGCTCTGAAGATTAAACTATTGTATGCTATGTATAAGCCTTGTATGTATAGGCTAACATAGTTATCATGGGTGACTGATGTAACAAATTCTTACTGAGAGGTGTTGTCCAATAAATATCTTAGATACAGCTTGATGCATCTTTCAGCCATATTGCCCTTATGTACTGTTCAGTCATATGTTACATAATATTGTCCTTTTTCAGTGTGCTTCTGGTAACTCCCACTAAAAAATTCCTACTAAAATTTCGAAGGCATTGAAGTTTGGGTTCCAAAGTTTGACATAATGAGCATGATAATTTTGTAACATGATCTGAACGTTCAGTTTTGATAGTCAACTATTCCTTTGGATCAACAGTCCTTTACCATGTTTCAATGGTCACAAGCTTTGGCATGTTGAGTAACAAACATGAAAGTCTCTTATCAAAAATACTGAAGATATATGGCCTCTGTCGGTAGGTCATCGTGAAAACAAACCTGATCACGTTCATAACCAGCTCAATGCTAAATGTGCAGTGCATGTACTGTACGTGTGGTGTCGTCTGGTCTAGTCTAGTCAGCTAGGCTGCAGGTGCTGACTGGGTGCATTCCAAACGTCATGAACAGATTACTACAGGTTTTGGTATTAATATATGAAACTGAAACACTATGACACTTTCTCTGTTTTGTGGGAGGTCTCAAGTACAACATACAAGAGAAGGGAATGATCCGCACGTTATGCTACACAAAGAGGAAAGTTATTCGCAACTGGGGTTGTTTTGGTTTGCAAGTTGCGATGTGAACCCTGATATTTTGTCCCATGTATTTTGAAATCATGTACATCTATTATCAAGTTTCATGTGAGAATATACAATTAATGGAATGTCATCAATTAATAATCCCAATAAATAATTGAGTAGAAAAATTCCACTAAATGCACTGCCATAAGATTCGTAGTTGTCCCATTGATCTCATAAAGCACCCATCTGCCATTGCCCAACCCTGGCTATCAAAGTTCTCATCAAGCCCTCTCTTGAACTCTCCCAATCTTCTTGTTTCTACTACATCAGAAACCAGTCTATTCCAAAGGCTTCTGTCACATTTCTTGGTTTTAGCTTGAAATTGAAATGCCATATTATATATATAAAGTGAAATAGGTGCTTTATGGTGTTAATGTAGGAAAATAGGACATTCACAATGTTCTATTTTAACAAGTACGAAGTAACTCTTGGTAATTGTATACTTGTGTGGCTCTTCTTAATGTGGTACGAGCTTATCGTCTCTGGTGTTTCATGAATTTAACTAACTGTTACTGAAGTGGTATTATAGAAAAGATATTGATTTACTTTGAAAAAATGTTCACAGAGAAATACCAAAATATTTCCTGGTTTCAAACATCTAAGCTATGAAGAAAGACCCATGGGACCCATCTTGTAATATTATTAAGTATAACTGGATCTGGGTTTCCACATCTTCTAATATTATTAAGTATAACTGGATCTGGATTTCCACATCTTGTAATATTATTAAGTATAACTGGATCTGGGTTTCCACATCATGTAATATTATTTGGAATTTTTTTGTGATTAGAGTTGTATGCTAGTAGTCTGAACTCCATTAAGTTTTTATTGGATAATTCTTTCTTTAGGTTGGGTCAGTTTCTTTGTCAGGTGAGACTTCTTACTGACATGTGACAAATACAGTTTTTTTCATTACATTAATGTTTCCCTTTTCACAGCATGTAAAACAGTAACAGGTATTACCTCTGTGAGGTCTGTTACCTTCAAATGTATTTTATTTGTTACAGGTCAAAGCACTGAGCGTACTTGTACTTTGTTTTTTTAACCAAGCATGAACCATCCAGGTTTGAGTGGCAGTAAGGTGAAGACACATTTCACAACTGGTAAGACCTATTTTTATTTTGCTGCTCTTTATTTTATGCACTCCCTTCCATGGAAGCCGTTTGGTGTGTGTATCCATTTCCATGCATGGCTTGAAACAGTGTAAATGTAGTACAAATAAGTAATATTTAAAAGAATGTTTTTTTTTTCCAAATTGATGTTACAGATAGCTTTGCCAAACCCTGGTGTTTTGGTGAAGATCTGTTGGAGTGATTATAAGATATTAGAAAATATATTCAATTGAAATATCACAGAGGAAGTCACTAATTAAAACTGGCATATCAATAGTATATTGTGTTTGTTTTGTTAATCATCATTTTTTTTTGTTTATGAGAAAATTAGTGATAACTGAGTTGACTGTGAAATGTATGGTTACTGCCTATTAGAGAAACACTTGTAGAAATATATCGGTGACTGTACAATCTACTCATGCAGCTCAAATGTAGAGGACGACATTTCGATCGTCTTCCACCTTTTGTCGTTGTTATAGTTATTGAATCAGAAAATAATGATAAGAATTCTTTTGTAACTTCATGGTTCCTCGTAGAGGACATTTATGTCAGCTCAGGTAGACAAAACTAATGTATACAAGACTGTTACTGTAAAGTGGAATGGTCAGGTACCTCAATAGCTGTCAAAGCCTAATTCAGGTTTTCTCAAAACGTTTTTGTGTGCGTAAGATTATCTATGGAGAAAAGTAATGATTCTTTAAGTTGAGCTTTGTTATGAATACGTGAGAATATATGTTTTGAACCGACCACATATTTTATATGAATCATAAGTTCACGTTTTGAAATATATATATAATTGGTATACCATTTTTTTCTCTTTTTCCAAGAAATACAGTGCAGTAGGTTTTATTAATTCAGTTCACTGTATTCATACTTGAGTTAAAATATTTTGTATGTTTTTCTCTTGTGTTGCTTCTCACTATAATATAACTTAGACATCTTCCTACTGTCTTGACTATCATTTAATGCAACTGAAGCTTAGTCAATTTTTTTAGTTTATATTTTTAACTCTTTTAATATTTATTCTTAGCTTTAAGTGTTTTAAGCATATGTAATGTGTATTATTTATGATGTCAGAATTTCCTCTATAATTTCAAAGACTCAAAATATTTTTTTCATGTTTTAGGTATTTCTTCAGTTTATTTATTGTTTAAAATTTTGCTTTTTCCATGCTTTACTTTTAAATTATTTTTCTCAAAATAGTTTTTTTCCCTTCAATATTTTTTTGTGAAATTAAAAAATCCTTAGCAAAAGATTTTTGTGGGAGAACTATTTTAAAGTAATATATTTTTTATGGAGATGTGTATAAACAGTAGGAATTCTTGTTTAAATTGGGAACCTGGTTATAGCAATGCCAATAAAGGTAGTAACATTGAGATTAAAAGGTTAAAACAGGACTGAAACAAGATACTGTAGATCAGTTAGGTGTAGTTATTTCAGATTTTGTGTAATGTTTTAGCAAACCTTTCGCCAGACTACAATATACAAGGTTGAGTACATTATATTACAATTTTGAATATGCTGATCAGCGAGTCATGACATCCAGAATGGATTTGAAATTGTAGTGGAACAGAATGTATGAGAACTACATTTTGATATTGTTAGGTGTTTTGTATGAAGTATGATGCTACTGAAAATTGATCACTTTTGTAAAGGGTATGTAAAATACCTTTTCAATGCAAACTATTGATACAGTCAGATCGTAAAGATGTGTTCAGGTTGATTATTTAGAATTTTGAAGAAAGGGGCATCTTTTGTACTTAATGTCATTGGAAGACAAATGAATGTGGATCAGTTTGGGACTCAGGACCATTCAGAAAGAGACCCGCAACAAGTCATACTTCAGCCATGATAAGCAAAGTGTGACATCTTATAATTGGTGAGAATCCACTAACACTAAGATAAGTGGCAAAAGTCACGTACACATTTTGGCAACAGTACACAATCTAATCAAGAAGAATCTCCTTCTGAAAAAGTGGTACAAGCTGCTTCCATGACATAGTCATTCAGGTGTAGTAACTTGAAAATGCTATCCAATACAAAGACATACTGGATGGGATAGTTGAAATGGATGCTGAAACACTGCCATCCTTGTACTCTAGAGCAGTGCTTCTCAACCTTTTCTAATATCATTCATCCCCATATGTTTTTCACAACAGCTCATTCACCCCAGTTTGAAAAAAAGATAAAGTGATAAATTAAAATGCAAAATTCTTTATTTTGACTTAAATATACATCAACTACAACTAAAATTAATATACAACATAAAATAAACAAAAAATAAATTTATTTATCAAACTACAACTAGAATAAATAATAATAACTAATAACTTTCCTGCTCTTGAATTTGTTGTATAATCGACAATACTCATTCACCCTGATTCTGATCTCATTAACCTCTGGGTGAACCATTCACCCAGTTGAGAAGCACTGCTCTAGATGGATTATGGAAGAATGCAGAAAGTGTGTGCTTTGGACATGCCAGTCTTTTACAATGAAAACTATGCTGCAGGACTATTGTCAAGATTGAAAGTCATCAGATAGAGCATGAATGGATGTGGTGACATGGACTGTAATGTCACGTTAAGGTTCTAAAATTGTTTTAACATAAAATACTCAACCTTTGTATATAACTTGAAGTGAATATACTGATTTTTTGACATTTGATCTGTTTATTCATATGCTTTAGTTATTGAAAAGGTATGGAAATGATGTCTATGAAAGTTGAGTCATATTTTCAGTGCACTGAATTCTGATTAACTTTGTTAACAAGGAATACCCAAAATAACTAAAAATGAAATGTTAAATGTTTTCTATGAGAATAATCAGATAGTAGCCACTTGTAATTTTATGAATATGCTTTTCCATTACTTGTTTGATTGATTTTTAATCTTGTTTTTTTTTGTACGTAATAATGTCAATAAATTTAAATTTTTGTAAAAAGTCACGAATTTCCACAAACTGTGTATCATTTTCATTTTACTAGTTATGACAGCGCCATCATCAGCATCAGACCTTGTCAGCCTGTTTGAATGTCCTGTCTGTTTTGAGTTTGTTCTGCCTCCTATTCTTCAGTGTCAAAATGGACATCTTGTGTGCTCAACTTGTCGCCAGAAAATCACCTGCTGCCCAACGTGTAGGGCACCAATTGGTAAAACTATTGATTTAAACATTTATGATATTGAAATGTTAAGTACTGGCAGGGATAATAAATAATTAGGATATGTTACCTTTTGATTTCTGATTTTAGTTCTTCAGCTTTGGGGCCCACTTTTTCTTCTTCCATCAAAACCATTCATGGCTAGTATCTTAAGAAATCATTTTTTTTCTATCTCAAAGTTTATTGGATATTCAAAAAAAAAGTTGTTAATGATGTGAAATATATTCTTTATTTCCATTTTATTATTCCAAAAGGGTTTCTTATATAATATATGTTAATTTAGATATATTTTAGGGTGTTTAATGATTATTACCTAACAATGAATTGTCAGTCCCTTTTTTTCCAATTTTGTAACTACTTGTTTTTCAAAACTCGTTTTTCTGAGATTGTGGCTAGCACATAAATCTTCTTTATAATTGTTACAGAGATTATCAGGAATCTTACTTTGGAAAAGGTGGCCAGTAACATCTTTTATGTTGATCACAGGTAACATCAGGAACCTTGCTGTGGAAAAGGTGGCCAGTAACATCTTTTATGTTGATCACAGGTAACATCAGGAACCTTGCTGTGGAAAAGGTGGCCATATATCTTTTATGCTGATTACAGGTAACATCAGGAATCTTGCTATGGAAAAGGTGGCCAGTAACATCTTTTATGGTGATTACAGGTAACATCAGGAATCTTGCTATGGAAAAGGTGGCCATAATGTCTTTAATGCTGATTACAGGTAACATCAGGGACCTTGCTAGATAAAAGGGGGCCAGTAATGTCTCAAGCTGATTACAGGTAACATCAGGAACCTTGCTATGGAAAAGGTGGCCAGTAACATCTTTTATGGTGATTACAGGTAACATCAGGAACCTTGCTATGGAAAAGGTGGCCAGTAACATCTTTTATGGTGATTACAGGTAACATCAGGAATCTTGCTATGGAAAAGGTGGCCAGCACAGTAATGTTTCCTTGCAAATATTCAGCTTCAGGCTGCAATGCTCAGCTGTTACACACAGATAAACAGGATCATGAAGAAATATGTGAATTCAGGTAAGTTTTGTTCATTTAAAATGTTTTTTACAAGACCTAAAGCTGTGGTTCTCAAACTTTTTGTTGTCATAAACCTGAATTTTATTTTAGTTAATCTCTGTGGACTGCAGTCAAATGTGTTGCATCCTTGTGCTGTTGCTTCCTTTCTGTAATTATACCACCTTTCCATGTATTGCAGATTGAGAACCGGTTACCTAGAGTGCATATTTTATTTTCCGAAGATATAATGAAACCTTTATATATATATATATATATATA